TGGCCCAGTAAGAATCATGTAGCTGACTCTTCCCCCCCCCCCCAGATCACATGTCTCTCTTTTAGATGTTTGCTGTGTGTTCATATTTGATGTTTTAAGAACATGCATGGTAGGAGGAAATAAAAGGACCCTCGTTTGCTCTTTTGACAGCTTGTGGGTTCCTACTTAGTGGACCATCCATCACACACGTTCTGTCTTCTTACTAACTATCAAGTCCACAGGTTTGGGAGCAGAAATCTGGTGTCCTATAGTGAGACTCCATTTCCTCTTGTGTAGACTTGGTTCCTCTTTATGTCTTCTTAGCTATTACATTCCTCTGTTTCTATTTGGCATCTGCAAATCTAGTAGGTTCACATTGGGACATGTATCTACCCAAACAGTGCCATATCTGCTACTCCCATTTGCCTCACCCTGGCCAATTATTACCAAAATCAGATACAATGGAAATGTGTGGGTGTTGTGTGAGCTATTATGGTAGTTCACAGATGTCAGAAATAAACTATTTTAAGAACTGACACAAAGGATCACCTCTGGGCAGAATGTTTTAAGAAGAGGTTGGAGAATACAAAGGTAGTTCAAGGTATTTCCTGAGTCATCTCAACTGTACACAGAAGTCAATTCTCTATGAATACTCTGATACTGATTGGACACTACTCTAGAGGAGGGGCTGTAGCTCAGTGGTAGAGTACTTGCCTGGCATGTAGAAAGTCCCAGGTTCAATCCCTGGCATCTCCATTTAAAAGGACTAACATGGATTAAGCAGTTATGATAGTCAATTGCAAAGTACCTTTTGATAAAAGGCTGGAGTTATGAGTCAGAGGATAAGAATTTTTTTATAGTTAGGATGTTTTTTTTTAATCTATTCTCAAAATTTATGAGGTGTTGAAGAGACTGTGAGTGCTTTGTGTATTTTTACATCACAGAATAATTGTGCAAGCACTTGGCTTCTTAACTTGTGAACAAATTAGATGGACATTCAGTAACCAACCATCAAGTCTCATGAAGGTCTCAAAATGGTTTTGAAGCCAAGAGACTGGCAATGTACTTTCCTATTGACTGCCAGGGCTTATATATATGTTGATCCATGTTGTTATATGGGTTGTGATTTCATTGATTCTGCCTGTCAAAGGCCGCAGCTTAGGAAGAGAAAGAATACTGAAAATAAACTACTGGCTATGCAGATGGTGTCTCCAGGAAAAGTTTGGGGTTTTGGACCATGGCCTACACTTTTGAGATTAAGCACTTTGGTTGGGAGATGGTTTGCACTTTCCAAATGTAGGTGGAAATATGTTTGGCAAGAGCTTTGCAAACCTGATAAGGAGGGCTTTAAACTAAATCCTGTGGGGGAGAGACAAAAATTTGAAGGTAGTATGATGCCAATTACTAAAGATGTGCGAGGAGGGGCACATATGCAGGGAGTCCGGGACCCATTAATTTGCAGGTAAGAACAGAAATAAAATACTCAAGGCCCACAAACCATGGATTCCAATGTCTCTACACTAATGCACAGAGTATGAGGAACAAGCAGGAGGAATTTGAAGTCTTAATACTGGAAGGGGGCTATGACCTAATAGGCATTACTGAAACTTGCCACAATGAGACTCACAGTTGGAATATTAGGAATGAGGGGTACAACTAGTTTAAAAGGAATAGTCAAATAAGGAAGCAGGGAGGAATAGCATATGTCAATGATGTATATACTTGTGAGGAAATACATGAATCTGAGCATGGAAGATCAGTCTCTGGGTAAAAACAGAAGAAGTAAGAAATAATAGTGATATTATGGTGGCAGTCTGCTATAGACCAATAAACCAGGCAAAGGACTCACAGTTGGAATATTAGGAATGAGGGGTACAACTAGTTTAAAAGGAATAGTCAAATAAGGAAGCAGGGAGGAATAGCATATGTCAATGATGTATATACTTGTGAGGAAATACATGAATCTGAGCATGGAAGATCAGTCTCTGGGTAAAAACAGAAGAAGTAAGAAATAATAGTGATATTATGGTGGCAGTCTGCTATAGACCAATAAACCAGGCAAAGGACTTGGATGAGACACTCCTAGACCAGGTAACAACATTTTCAAAGAGACACAAAACAGTGGTCATGGGATATTTCAGTTACCTTGATATCTGTTGGAAGTCAAAGTCTGCTAAAAATGAAAGGTCTAATAAACTACTGACTTGTCTTGCCGACAACTTCATGTTCTGAAGGTGGAGAAGGAATAAGGAGTCTACTATCTTGGCCCTGACCCGGATAGCCCAGGCAAGCCCGATCTCATCAGATCATGGAAGCTAAGTAGGGCCAACCCTGGCAAGTACTTGGAAGGGCGACCTCCAAGGAATATCAGGGCTGGGACGCAGAGGCAGGCAAATATCAAACCATCTCTCTGAAATGTCCTAGCCCCACTAGGGGTTGACAGAAGTCACTCTTAACCTTCTTACATTGGTCTCCCCTCAAAATCAGCTTGGAGACGCCAGTTGGTGCAGAACACTACGGCTCGGCTAATATTGGGAGCTAAACTCATTCTGCTGCCATGCCATACACTGCCCATCAGCACAGGGATTTCCTTTGTCTTGTGTAATTATGAAAGCATCCATATTCATTCAGGGATCAATAGCAGTAATTACACACCTTGGTATTCCCTTAAATACCATGAAATCTAAAGTTGTGTTTGCATTAACAGCTCATTTATACATCACTGCCTTGGATTGGCACGGTGTGGGATGGGACCCTTCATCCCTTTTCATCCCTCCCCCACAAACTGAATAGCAATCTAGGTTTTCACTTTCACAACTTTGGGGTAATTTATTGCAGTCTCACTTGCCCTTCTGTAATTTCTATTAACGTTTTAGGCTGTTGTTTTATGCTTGCGTATTACACTTGTGTATTCCAGTGTGGTGCTGTGCTAGTCTGTTGCAGCAAAAACAACAAAGAAGTCTTGTGGCACTTGCCCTTCAAGAAAACTGACATCTTTATCCCACTTTTCCTACAAAGAACCCAGGGAAGCATACATGGTTTCATTGCCTCCATTTTGTCTTCACAACAGCCCTGCAAAGTAGATTAGGCTGACAAGAGAATAGTTGGCACAAGGTGAACAAGCTTCCTGGCTACGTGAGGATCTGAACTTAAGAGTTCCAAGGCCTGTTCCAACCGAACCATTACACAACACTGTCTCAAATGCTCTTTTAGTCATTAAAGTAGCATTAAGCTTTTTGTTAAGGGAATAAGAGCTGGCTCCCCCTTGCATGCTGAAATGATTACTTGAGGCATCACAGAGAACAAAACTAGCGTTATCTCTTTGAACAACACCCTTTCCGACGAAGTGTTCACATATTAGGGTTGCCAATTCCAGACTGGGAAATTCCTGGAGATTTGGGGGTGGAGCCTGGGGGGGTTGGGGCTCTGCAGGGTATAATGCCATAGCATTGAAAGTAGCCATTTTCTCCATGGGAACTGATCTCTGTTGCCCGGAAACCAACTGTAATTCTGGGAAACTTCCAGGGCCCACATGGAGGTTGACAACCCTGCCACATATTCTGAAGTGTTTAGTATGGCCTGGTCTACACATGCAGCAGAATCAGGTGGCAGAATGGACTGTACAACATCAAACTGTCTACAGGTGAAGGTAGGGTTGCCAGCTGTGGGTTGGAAAATACCTGCAGACTATGGGGGTGGGTCCGGGAGAGGGCGGGGTTTGGGGAGGGGAGGGGCCTCAGCATGGTACGATGCCATAGAGTCCACCCTTCAAAGCAGCCATTTTCTCCAGGGGAGCTGATCTGTCAGCTGGAGATCAGTTGTAAAAGTTGGGCGATCTCCAGGCCCCACCTGGAGGGTGGCAATCCTAAGTGAAGGTAACATTGTTCAAAGTTCCCCTACATTAATAATCTATCACTGGAAGACTAGGACCGCATGATGAAGAGCTACGCTAGAGTGTCCCCTTTATAGTCTAACTTTTAATTTCGAGGAAGTTTATACATGGAAGGGCATTAGGCATGTGCTTCTTCGCCACCTACAGTTTGATGTGGTGCAGCTCGTTCTACCACTTTAGATTTCTCCAGCGAATTCTGCTACGCGTGAATTAAGAAACCGCTCCGTTATCCATTGGCGTAACGTGTTCCTTTAAAGCCTCTGGAACTAAATAGATAAGCCTAAATTCTCAGCCAATCGCATTTCCCCCTCCTCCAAGACGCGACAAAGCCCCGCCTCTATAGCTGACATCATTCCTGGGAAATCGAAATAGTCTGCGGGTGGAACAGGCTCTTCCTTCTAATGGTCGCTACTCCGTCCGTTGCTGAACGCAGCTCAAGACTTTTCGTCCAATCAAGCGAGGAGTGGGCGGAGTAATGACTAATTTGTGGGCGGAGTGATCTCAGGAATAGCAACTGGAAGTGGGGGGGGGAGCGCGTCGGATCTTGCTGGGCAGCAGTGTTTGCAGCGGTAGGAAATTAATGGGTGTTCGGTTGGGGCAGCACGGAGGATGGTGGGACAGGCATCTAATGAGCAGGGGTGGGAAAGTGGTAGTTTCTGGACAGTTTCAGAGAGAGGAGACTTACAGCTGGGGTGGTGGATCTATCCAGTTACTGTAGATTCCATTGGTTGCACGGAGGTAGTTGGCATAGGGAGGAGTTGAAACTGAGGAGGGTGGTGGTCAGAGCGCCTAGTGGCTTTGAGAAGTTGGTATTGCGTTGAGTAGGGGGTTGGACTAGATGGCCTGTATGACCCTTTCCAAGTCTGTGATTCTAGTAACGGGTTCAAGAACTTAGATTTTCAGGTACCGTATTAGAAAGATGTCAACATCACTTGCAGCTTTTTCCAGGACAGATATTAGACTGCACAGTATTCTATTTTATTAGCAAAATGTCTTCTGGAACTTTGTCTGGTCAAGATTAATATATGTACTCAGGGGTCATTTCCTGCAGGAGCGCACAGGAGCGGAGCCCCAGCAGTAAAGAGCCCAGGGGGGGTGGGCACATGCAACAAGCCCCACCCCCTGCTCCCAGCAGCCCTCAGTCAGAGCAAGAAGCAGCCAGGTAAGTTGCAGAGCTCCCCCCAGCCCGCAGTCCGAAACAGTTTAGTGGCACTTTTAAGACCAATTTTATTCAGGTACAAGCTCTCCCTCCTCTGTGAGGGCAGATCTGCACGTGTCCCCCCCCCCCCAATAGCTAGCAACCCAAAACAGTCCAGTGGAGCCTGAGCGGTGGGTGTTGCCTTCTGACACATGTCCAGTGATGTCAGGGAGTGTGGTGTATGCAAATAAGTTATGCTAATGAGTTATACTAATGAGTTCCTGTACCTCTTTTCTTCGAAATGACCCCTGTATGTACTGAGGAAAACAGATTACTCTACAATGCATGTATGCCTTATTTTGCCTTATAAAGCCAGTATTTGCAATGGGTTCTCAATCTTAAAAAAAAAAAAAAGACAGCTAACATTTCTGTGTTTGAAGGTGCGTGTCTGTTTTTTATTTATTTATTGGTGCCTTTGTGAGTCACTGCTCTGGGTGTGCCCTTTTATCTAATGAAAGATAGACCACGACAACAATCCTATAGAAGTCCAATGTACTGTCTCCTCCAGAGAATGCATCTCTCTATTGGGAGTAACTGACAGCACAAGCCAGTTGGTTTAGATGGGCCTGGAGTAATTTTTCCTAAAATTGCACTGTGAATGAGCAGGTAGTATCTGATGTTAAAGCACAGCAAAAGTTCCTTGCTTGCACTTGAGCCAAACTGAAAGTAGACAAGGCCAGAGCAGTGATTCATGCAGAGACATGATACCCAAAGTTCTCCCAGAAGTCTGTGGTAGTCTAATTTGTTTTGACAGGCGCATAGTTGGGAGTTGCCACTTTAGATATTTAAAGATGTGGAACATATTTCTACGCATTCTTTGGTGTAAGGTATGCTTGTAAGCTTCCATTGCAGACTGGGGATTTGAACCTGGGTGTCCCAGAGCCTAGACCAGCACACTAATCATGATGACCCAATGCTGATCTAGTCTGTTGTGAGTTTTGCCCTGACCTATCCAGCCCAGGCAAGCCAGATCACGTCGGATCTCTGAAGCTAAGCAGGGCTGACTCTGGCTCGTACTTGGAAGGGAGACCTCCAAGGAATACCAGGGCTGGGATGCAGAGGCAGGGACGTCCACTTGGCCTCGGCCAGGGCTTTTTCTGCCCTGGCCCCAGCCTGGTGGAACATGCTCCCATTTGAGATCAGGGCCCTGCAGGACTTAATGCCATTCCTCAGGGCCTGTAAAACGGAGCTGCTCTGCCAGGCCTTTGGTTGAGGTGGCAGGCATCCAATAAAATCTCGCTTTCCCCCCTGTTGAGGTTTACCATTTTTAATGTGGCCCAGATTAAGAAGAAGGAAATGGCACTAGCTTGAAATCTATGCGTACAAATAGCGTTTTATACTGTTTTAATTGTTTTTATATTTAACAATGTATTGTAATTTTATGATGTCTTGATTTGTTCTGTGATCCGCCCTGAGCCCGCTTGCAGGGAGGGTAGAATATAAATTGAAACAAATAAATAAATAGTAAGCCACTTCTCTGAAATGCCCAAGCGCCACTAGGGGTCTGCAGAAGTCAAACAGAATGTATAGTCTGTTGTGAGTTTCTACATCTTTCATATACACGAAGTCTCTCGAAATCACCCTCTGAAAAATACCTGCTCCCTGCTCTCTTTTTATGGTGCCTTTTGTATACAATCCAGTATCTCTGAAAAGAATAGCTCAACCTTCTGAAAAAGGACATCTGACATTCAAAACCCAATACATAATATTTAGAATTTATATACAAATGTACTGTGAAGAAGAAGAGTTGGTTTTTATATCCCGATTTTCTGTACCTTAGGGAGTCTTAAAGCGGCTCACAAACCTTCCTTCCTCTCCCCACAACAGGCACCTTGTGAGGTAGGTGGCTCTGAGAGAGCTCTGAGAGAACTGTGACTGGCCCAGGGTCACCCAGCTGGCTTCACGTGGAAGAGTGGGAAATCACGCCCAGTTCTCCAGATAACAGTCTGCTGCTCTTAGCCACAACACCACACTGGGTCTCCGTGGCCAAAATAGTTTGATTTAAAAAAATAAAATCTCATTTTAACACTAATAGTTGTTTCACAGAATAATTTCTGATGTAATTTGTCTTAATGACATTTTTAGACTTTGCTTTTATTCCTACAGAAAGCTTATATGCCACTTGCTCTCGGGGTCTCATGAGGTTTAAAAGAAACAAAATCACAAAGATAGCAACAATACAACGACCATTGTAATCATAAATAAAAGCCAAGAGTCCACCAGCTGCATACGAATGGTATAAAGCAACATTACAACGACCTAAAGTGTTATCATAAAGCAGCCATCAGACTAGAAGTAATCTATAACAATAGCTTTAAAAAGATAGAACCTTTCAGTTGTGTTTAGTTTGACTTGGTACTAAAAGCAAGATAAGGTAGGTGACAGGGGAACCTCACATTTGAGGACATTCCGGAGGGGAGGTGCCACCACGGAAAAAGCCTTGTCTCTGGATGCTGCCTGCCATCTGCTGGCAAGGGCACACAGAGGGAGTGAGCAGAGGTGGAGGATCTTAAATGATGGGCTGGACAAGATGGGAGGAGGCCGTTCTTTAAGTACCTCAGTCCTCCCACGTGGTTATGGGCTTTAAAGATAAGAGCCAACATTTTAAATTTTGCCTGGAAACTAAAGATTTTCAGACCAAAGCTGCCAGTCTGGATCAGTGTTCTTTTAATCGTATCCTTTCTGCAAGTTGTATGTTGATAGAAATCTTGTTGTGTGAAGCATAATTCTAACAATTACTACTCCTGGGCCAGGGTGGTGATGTTTATTTCCCACACATTTTATTCTGGTAGATGATGGGTATTTCGTATTAAATTGTATTGTATTCAATTAATATCACTTATTCTTAGAGGTTAATTTTAAGGCAAGGAGTTGTTGCAAAGATGGTGTGTACTTATTCTGGCAATATTGTAAAACATTGTACTTATAATGGAAGGGAAGAATAAGCTTTGGATTCTGTGGCAAATACTTAAGCACTTGCTTCACTCTCACTGTGACTTCAGTGGGGCTGTCATTGGGACACCCAATTGATGTCCTTCTGGGGTATATTATACATATCTCAATAAATAAGAACCATTGTGAAAAAACTGTTGCATAAATTCTAAGTGCTCTTCTCCATGATCTGCCTTTAATTGAAAGACGAGATGCAAAAAGGTGAGAAAACACCTGACACTTGTAAAATAGCTGAATTTGTACCAATAAGAGAAGGTAGAAAGAAAGAGGAAAGCTTTATGTCAAGGTGGATTACAGTGGTAGACTTGGACCAGGGATCCTTGTTTAGTCAACAGGCATTTGCTGAAGTGGGTTCTAGTCCACATGGAATAAAACCTTGTTAGACTTCAATGTGCTGGAAGACTTCTGTTTTTTCCTGTAGCAAAGTAATGTGGAATTACTGCCATTCAGCCCTGAAGCTCACTCTACCCTGGACCACAGTTACACACTCTCAAACTAACCTGGCTTGTGAGGATGAAACAGGAGAATGGTGGATACCGTGTACACTGTCTTGAAGGAAGGGTGCAATAAAAATATAATGCATTTACATCACTCTAGGCCCCTTGGAGGAAGAATAGGATTAGAATAACTAAAACACTGATGGAATTAAACACAGTAATTACTACTGGCTTACAGACTCTCATAATAGACCACCAGGGAAGCAGGTACATTGGTACGCCTTTCACAGTAAAGATTTCTGTAAAAAAATATGGGGGGAAATATGTAAGGGTCTTTCTTTCAGCTGCCGTGAACCCAGCTGAGGGAAACACTGACATAATAGGAAAGCTCTAATTAACAAGCCACCCCAAGGGTTGCTTTATTAGAATATATTTGGTGGTTCACAAATTGTGGGGTAGGATCCAAAAGCAGGTTGTGAGTTCCTCACAGGTGGGTCATGAGGCCAGGAGAAGGAAATGGGATGAGCAGGAAAGGAATTTTGAAAGTACGCCTGATCTGTGAAATGGCTATGCAATGCAGCTTGTTGCTTAGTAATGTTATAAATTTGTAAGTAGTTAATGAAATATAAATTATAAACCTCTTCACTATTATCAGATATGTTTTATGTTGAGGAGGGGGAAGTAGTGTGAAATTTCTTTGTAAGGGGGTCCCAAAACTATACTAAGCTTAGAAATGGTTCCAAAAACTACATTAAATTTGTGTTTGGGTCCCACTTCAAAAATTTTGAGAACTACCCAAACAAAGTAATACTGGTACATTATAGAGTAATAGATTTTAAACACTAAGAGGTTCTTAAAGGCTGACCCCTCTCAAATACTAAACATTTGGGAGCCAGCTTGGTGTAGTAGTTAGACTAGGATCTGAGAGTCTCAGGTCCAAATCCTCATTCTGCCATGCAAACATGCTGGGTGGCCTTTGGCTAGCTACACACTCTAAGTCTCACTGAGAGTTGAGGATAGATAGACAGGGTTGTTGTGAGGATAGAATGGAGGGCAGAGGATACTGTAGGTCACTTTGTTCCTCATTGGGGAGAAAAGTGAGTTATAAACTATGTAAATAAATAAGTGGATTCTGATTTATCTGAGATATGGTTGCTTAGGACAGCAAGATGAGAATCTATATATTTTATGAAAAACTGTCCTTGACCGAAACCAAGCACGATGTTCCTAGTTAGGATCAGGCTACCTGTGAAAAATAACAGAGCATCCTGCACTCTGACCTTCTTATTCTTCTGTGGTGATTTTCACAAAATGGAAATTCTTTAGCAATACCATTTTGCTTGGATTACAGGAATAGATGTAGGTAATTAGCCCTACTGAGAATCTCTTTTCTGCTTGTACAAATCAATTGCTGCCTCCTTGGCAGTGATGCTTGGTTCTGTAAATACCCTTGATGTCTCTGGATTGTTTTGGTCTGATTCTGCTTGTCTCTTCTTGGTTTCACATCCCCCTTTGCCAGTTTCGTAATTTCCTGGAAACTGAAACAATATAAGCCAAGAAGAAATCTGTCATGCTTTCCAGGGCTGAGCTACAGTTTTGGGTTTCTTCTGTGTTTATTTTAGTCTTTTTTTTCTCCTTTTTTTGGTTTTTTTTGGTTTTTTTGCAAATTTAGCTGCCAGAATCGCTTTATTAAGCAGCAGAACAGTATGCTATGGAGGGGTTTAACCCTCCCCCCTGCCATTTTCTCTCTGGGAAAAAAATATTTTTAAACTACTTTTTCTCCTAATGGAGAAACCCAATAGGTACCCTTAGCTCCCCCCCCCCCCAAATGGGGGTAAACTCAGGTGGACTTTCCCAAAGGAAAACCAGCAGGGGGAAAGAGTTGCCTCCTCCTCACATGTTGTGTCCTTTTAGATAAAGCAATACTGCTAGCAAAACTTGTAAAAGATGAAAGTCATAATTGAGCCCCTCCTCATTTCCAATCATAGATCCAGTCCAAATTTTCAAAAGTGAATGCTCAGAACTGTCTGTGAAAAACAGCTATGTGTGCAATGAGTAGCACTCCAGAAATTTGTAGCCTGAGCAGGTGTTGTGCTGGTGTGCTAGTATTGCACATCTTGCTATTTTTCTTGGATACTGACCCAGTTTAAATGAAATGCTGACTGTATGCAAAGCCACACAATTATGATTTTCTTCTTATTTTTATCACACTTTTGTCCCTTGTGTCGCATACTGAGGAGCGCAATAAAGGCAGGGCTGAGGCAAAGCCTCTGGTGCTCGTGGCCCTGGGGGAGAGGAGAAATAGAGAGGCCTTTGCCTGAGTCCCAGCTCTTGTGGGAGGGGGTAGAAATCATTTGCTGGCCTCCCAACCCTTGTAATTGGCTGCGGATTACAGGGGTATAGGAGGCCAGGCAGAAGGAATATACCCGAGGGACTTAATCTCTCACAGGCCCCCTTATAGCTCTTCAAGGGTAGGGTAATTATTTTAAAAAATACAAACATGATTTTTTAAAAAATGGTTTACATTACAGCTCTGGTCAGTTTCTCTTTTAGTAATACAATGATTTCAAAAGCGATCTGAACTTTGTGCAGGCACTTGATTCCTTAAAATTGAATGTATGCCTCTTCTATGAAAGTTATGAAAGTTTGTTGGGTAGAGATATAGTACAGTATTCAGTGGGAACCAGGGAGTGGCAAGTCACCACAGATCACCCATTGATCTACCTGGATGACCTCTCATTCCTATTTTATGCCTAGGAACTACTGGCTAATTGTCCTCTGGTTATGGGAGCAATCCTACATATTCCGTGGGTCTTGCTCCCAGGAAACTGTTCTTATGTTTGAGGCCTGCTGATAGCAAACAATATGGATGTTTATCTTCCATGTCATGGAAAACAGTGACCTGACCAGTAACGTCCACCAGCCCTTCTAGTTAAAGTTACTTGTTTTTTTGTGTGATGACAGGGAGAAGGGGCAGGCTAAAACAGAAAGCAACACTGAAGAAAAGCAGAGAGCAACAGTGAGGAAGAAGAAGTACCTTGTGTAGTTGATTCTAACCAGTGCCCAACTCAAAATCTCATAATTGCTGCATGTCTTAAAAGAGACCCTGTTTGAGGTCATGGGCATTATTATTATCTAAAAATAAACAATGTATTATAATATTACTTTCTAAAATAGCAGAAATATTAATTTTTTAGGAAATATAGAGTGTATTTTCTGAGGCTGTATAAAGGTTCTATTTGAATGAATATGTGTCTTGGTTATAGTGACCAAAATATGCAGTTTTAATTAGGAAGTATATACATCAGTGGAACATTTTGATTTAAATCTTAATTAGTGATTCATGGTGTTTTTTCCTTGGTAGTTTAAGATGTTTTAGTTAGGTCAGTTGTACATCACCTCTCCACATACCCTGCTCAAGGTGGCTAACCAGAAGAAAAAGAAAAGGAGATGAATAAGGATTACGCCACAGGAGTTAAACCATGTAGATGTATATAAACACAGTCTTGTAGTGCAATCCAGCAGAACTGAACCCATCTAAGCCCATTGATTTTAGTTGACCAACAGTGCAATCCTAAATACACTTTCCTGGGATTAAGCCCCATTGAATAGCCCTGAGGAGGATTTTGAGTTGACTTGCTTAGGACTGCTGTCTTAGAAGGGTGTCGCTCTGCTTAGGACTGCACTGATAGGAACACAAAAGCAAGCCATAGAACACCGGTAGATGGGAAATGCAGGTCAGGATGATACAAATGAGAGAGTTGATTCATGATTTAAGCTAATTTAGTATGTCTGCTTGTGAATTTCATTGAGCTCAGTGGAATTTTAGCATCATTGCATTACTCTGTCACTTTTCCTCTTGGGAAGCTTGTTTAAGAAGCATGCTGGGTGACCTTGGGCCAGTCACATACGCTCAGCCTAACCTATCTTACAGGGTGATTGTGAGGATAAAAGGGGAGGGGAGAACAGTGTAAACTGTTTTGCGTCCCCATTGGGGAGAAAGGTGGGGGGTTAAATGAAGCAAAATAAATTAAAATTTACAGTCTTTCATATTAGAATGTATTTAAAAATTATGGGCATAATCTTTTCCAGCACAGGGATTCCCTTCTTCCTCAGCCAGACATAAGCTTGTTTTTTGTTTGTTGAAATCCTTTTAATACAAAACATACCTTTAACCAGGGGTCATTTCGTAGAAAAAGAGCTAGGGGAACTCATTAGCATAACTCATTAGCATATGCCACACCCCCTGACATCACCGGAAGTGTCATAAGGCCACACCCCCTGACATCACCGGAAATGTGTCATAAGGCCACACAACCTGCCCCCAACGGTCCCGGCCTTGCAGCTCCACTGCTGAGCCCCATGAGGGGCCCGGCGGTGGACCTGCAAGGCCGGCGGGAGTGCAAGGAAGCCCCGCGAAGGCTCTCCCTGGCCCCAGGCAGGCAGGGGTGGGGAGAGGCAGGGAGGAAGCAACTTACCCTCCCTCTTCTCCTGCCTCCTCCTGGCTGAATGAGGGCCGGAAGCGGGGCGGCCGGAAGCGGGGGGCGGGGCTTCGTCATGTGCCCTGCCCCCCATACCTCACCTGGGGGAACTGCGTTCCCCGCGTTCCCCCCCAAAATGACCTCTGCCTTTAACTATTTCAGTGTATCTGAGGAAGTGTGCATGTGCACAAAAGCTCATACCTTGAATAAAACTTTGTTGGTCTTAAAGGTTCCCCTGGGCTACTGCTTCAGACCAACACAGCTGCCCACCTAGATAGATGTTGAACTGGCATTGATGCATTCTCCGTGCACTTGGGACTTTCTAAACAGTCTCTCTGGTTTTCTGCAGAAGGGCCTGCTGCCATCTCCTGATATTCTGACTTTCTTCTGCACTGGGGAGTCCAGTATCATACCTCAACATGGCCCAGTGGCAACAGATACGGATGCTGGACAATATCCATCGGGAGCATGTGCACCGTCTCTACTCAGATGATTGCTTGCCAATGGAAGTGCGGGAATACCTAGCCTACTGGATTGAAGATCAGAACTGGTAATGCCACTTGGCCACTGTTGGAAAAACCAGTGAGGAGGAGAAAAATAACTTATTTCCTTTCCTTCCTGTGTGTCTTGTTCAGGGTTCACTTGCTCTTCATTGTTTGAGCAGATACAGGTAGAATCTATAAGCAGCAAACCCAGAGCCTGCATGATCAGGAAGCTGGGAGCCCTTACCTGGCAGACGAACAGGGTGGAACTAGTCAGAAGAACCCATACAATTCCTGGTTACTACGGCTTATGGCTGAGAAATTAAAGTCGGAGCTACACTTGGCTTTTACCTAGCAGGGTGGTCAGATGGAGGCTTGTTCCACTACTACTTTCAGCTGCTGAATTGTTAGCTTTAAATGGACTTTGTTGGGGTCTAGTGCAGTGTTCCCTCTAAGCTGAGGTAGTGTAAGCTAGCTCACAGTTTCTTAGCCTCCGGCTCACACATTTTTGTCTTAGCTCAGGAAGGATGGCTCCAAAGGAAACTAATTGATGCAGCAGCCAAATGGCTCGCTCACAACTTTAATGCCAGTAGCTCACAAAGTAGAATTTTTGCTCATAAGACTCCACTGCTTAGAGGGAACATTGTGCCTCTTTAGAGTGGGATTGTGTGTTACTGCTTTTGTTTGGGGGTATTATTTTGCTCTGTCAAGTGTGTGTGGAGGTGGGCAGGTTCTCCAGCTGGACCAGGGGGGTTTCTTTGCTGCAGCTACTTAAATGTGTTGGGAATAGTATTATATGCCTGGCCTCCTTTAAGAGGTTGATCCATAGTGGTAATGGAGCACCATTGGGTTTTATTTCTCAAGAGGAAGATTCCTTGAGAAAGAAAGTTCAAATGGAAAGAGAAGTTCCCATAGATACAATCCAAGACATCTAGGTGCGCTTAAGGAGGGGGATTACTACATCCAGCCAAATCTAGAAAAGAATCTGCGTATCTTAGTATAATATATTAATTTTTGGCCTGGCAAACTGAGTCATGATTAGGACTCAGGGCCTGATTACTTGTGACATACTTCCCCATGATCTCTGGGTTAACGTGATCCTTATGCACTTGCAGATCTCTCCTGGGACTTCGGGGCTCAATTCTGATCAGGATTGTAGTACACAAGGAGAAAAGGGCTCCGATCTGTCCCCCCCCCCCCAATGCCATTTCCCTGACCTGTGGAGGTTGCTGTTTGTCCAATTGCAGATTCATCAGGGCTGTTTCAGGACAGGAAAACAGTGAGGGGGCCCCCTGAAACTTAGAGGGGAAAAGATCTTGGGGTAGTTTGGGATAGCTCAATAAAAGTGTCAACCCAGTGTGCTGCAACAACCTCTATGCTAGGGATTATTAGGAAAGAGAATGAAAATAAAATGGCTGATATTATAATGCCCCCGTATAGATTTGTGGTGTGGCTTCATTTGGAATACCGTGTACAGGTCTGGTCACTGTATCTAAAAAAGGACATTGCAGAGTTGGGAAAAATACAGAGGAGGACAACCAAGATGATTAGGGGGTTGGAGCACCTTCTCTATGAGAAAAGGCTGAAGAATCTGGTATTTCTCAGTGTAGAAAAGAGGTGACTAAGTGGGAACATGGTAGAGGCTTATAAAATGATGCCTGGGGTCAGGGCTTTTTTTGTAGAAAAAGCCCAGCAGGAACTCATTAGCATAATAGGCCACACCCAGCAGCAGAAACTCATTAGCATATTAGGCCACATCCACAACAGCACAGCTCATTAGCATATTAGGCTACACCCCATGCCTTCCCTTGGCTTGCTCAGGCTACAGAGAGCCCGGGCAAGCCCCCCCTTGAAGGGAAAGGAAGGCAGTTTAAACTCCAGGCCTTCCCTCTGTAGCCACGCATGCAGAGGTTTTGGCTGTAGTGGGCATGGCCAACTCTGAAGCCAGACGGAACTCCATTCCTGTGCGTTCCTGCCCAAAAATAGCCCTGCATGGGGTGGAGAGAGTTGACAAAGAGAACTTTTTCTTCCTCTCCCAAAATACTAGAACTCGAGGGCATCCAATGAAGCTGATGGGGCACGAGATTCAGAATGGACAAAAGGAAATACTTCTTTACACAGAAAGTGATTAAAATGTGGAATATGCTGCCAGAGGATGCAGTGATGGCCACAGGAATAAACAGCTTTGAATGGGGATTAGACAGATTCATAGGGGATAGGTCTATTAGTGTATACTAGCCATAGTGACTGAGGGCACCCTCTACATTCAGAGGCAGTAAACCTCTAAATCTCAGAGCCAGGAGGCAACATCAGGAGGACGAGGCCTCAGCCTCTATGCCCTGTTGGTGGCCCTTCAGAGGAACGGACTGACTACTGTGTGAGACAGGATGCTGGACTAGATGGACCACTGGTCTGATCCAGCAGGGCTCTTCTTATGTAGCTTCTTCTCTTCATGTGCCATAGTCCTGATCTGAATTGGGCCCTATATCATCTGGAAATTGAGTTTCTAGCAGGCAATTTGTTAGTGTATCTCCGGCTGACAGTTCTTGTGGCATACCGAGACGTGACCTGAGGACTGTGTGTAATGAAGAAAGGCCCTTAGATGCTAACTCTATATCTGATTTTCTGATTCCTAGCATTCCATTCTTTTGTATGGGGATTGTTTTGTCTGAACATATCCATATCCTCCTTTCTTTATGCCCACACCAAAACTTCATTCTCTCCTTGCTTCCCATGCCTTTCAGGAGCCAGGTGGTACAATCTGACTGCTCACAGGCCTGCTGGCTTTTCCAAACCATGCTGGCTCTTCTGGATGAGCAGCTTGGACGTCTTGTGTGGCATGAAGAGAACAATTCAAACATGGTCATTAAACACAACCTACGCCGTTCAAAACTCAGCCTACAGGTATTTATTTTTTCTTTATTTTATTCAATTTGTATCCCACCCTGCCCTGCAAGCGGGCTCAGGATGGCTCACAACATATGGTGAAACAATAAATATAATTCATAAAAACAACAACCAATTCATCTAAGGCACAGATCTGTATGTGTGTAGCTGCGGGAGGAAGAGTGCAGTGCTAATTGAGTATTGGGACTGTCAGTTGATTAGAGCATGTTTACCTGCTGCTGTCATAAAGGTAAAGGTTCCCTTGCTCGAAAGCCAGTCGTATCCGACTCTAGGGTTGCGGTGCTCATCTCCGTTTCAAAGCCGAAGAGCCAGCGCTGTCCGAAGACGTTTCCGTGGTCATGTGGCCGGCATGACTAAACACCAAGGCGCACGGAACGCTGTTACCTTCCCACCGAAGTGATACCTATTTATCTACTTGCAATTTCTTGCTTTCGAACTGCTAGGTTGGCAGGAGCTGGAACTAGAGACGGGAGCTCACTCCGTCATGCGGCACTCGGGTCTTGAACTGCTGAACTACCGACCTTCCACAGCCTGCAGTTCAGCATCTTAACCACTTGAGCCACCACAGCTCCTGCTATCTTACCGATTAATTAAATTAAAATTTTGTGTTTGACACGAATTTCAGTACAGCTACCTTTCTAAATCATGCAGGAAACTGTAAGCAAGCATGCAATTTATTTTAAAAACCCTCTAAAACTCGTTGTTAAAAGCAAAATCCACCTTTAATATTTCCCCCTCATCTTACAGTATTCTACCCAAACCAAAACAACACTAAAGGCTAATTACTTAGGCTTGGGCCTGAGCCTTTCTTTCTGCTTCTGCAGAGTGTCTTCTGTTGAAGAGGTGGTACTCCGTTATGGACTGTGTTCCACCAGTGCTAGGCACCTTCTGCTCATTGTAAGATGCTAAGCAGAAGGTTCCTAGTGCCAGACTCTAATCATTTGCTAAGCTTTATGCAATGTGTGGAGGGTGAGAGGACAGGATTGAGGCGGGGAATACAGTAACACATTTTAAAGATTGTGGATGAGCCAGGTTTTAATGTCTTCTTGCAAACAGGTATGTTTGGTTCACATCCTGCTTGCCATTTGCCAGCAGGGAGCCTGTAGTTCAGCTATTAATTTGGATATGTCCAGTTATCGTGATCACAGTTTTCTCTTGTACATTTACACTGTTTTCTTTGTAGTCTTTCCCCCAGGCCATCTGTCTGCCACTGCGTCCAGTCTGAAAAGGTCATATAGCAAAAAGGAAAATCCCATGCGAGATTTTTTTAGTTGATGTTCACTACTTAGGGGTCTCTGTGTGCCTTTGGTGTCTGCCTGTGAACCAGCTAATCTTGCAATCTTTTCTTACAATCACTTCTCAAATTCATACCACAGATTTCACAGGCGCAAAAAGCAGAGCGTTCAATCCAGCTTATGAAAAGGGTCATTTAATTAAGAGGATTTGGTTCTTGGACTGAGCAAAAACAGCCACATGCTGCAACAGCCTGGCTCTGTGGCACAAACAGCTATTGTGTGGCTACAAAGGTATTCAGGGCTGGGCTGGGCTGTGATGGACTTAACCAGGATCCATCGAAGTGAACTGCTCAGAACTTGCTTTGCATGTAACAGAGAGAATATGAGCAATATAAGTTTACTTAGTAATTGCAGTTTTATTTTGTTCTGCATGTTTTAAATTGTGATTTGTAAGCCACTTAGAGCCAAGAGGAAAGGCAGGATATAAATATTTAAATTAAGTAATTAATTTTGTCATTCTGCTATGCTGTTATTTCCAGGACAGGTATGCAGAGCATCCAGAAAAACTGGCCAACCTGATTGATGGTTTGTTGAGAGAGGAGAGGGCTATTCTGTCAGCAGCTGCGGCTACTTCTCCGGTAAGGGAATGGTGCTTGACATGTTCCTACTGAGCCTAACCATCTGTTCCACCCTGCACCTGTCATGTCACTGTAATCCATTGCTCCTTCTTTATTTACTTAGTTTTTTGATTTGTAGCCCTCCTTCCCTGCAATGCAAGGCTCAGGGCGGGTTACAACAGTATGATAGAATACAATAATACAATAGATTAATATAATATCAGCAATTATTAAACTCTAACTACAATATCATTTATAATATCATGCCGCCACTTAAAACCAGTATTCCTGAGTCAGCACCATATATGTGCCCCGTAGATGGCAACTAGTAAGATGGAAAACGCACCGGGAGAGGCCAGTATTGCTAGATCACCACCGCCTCAACCATAGGCCTGGGGGAACATCTCCATTTTGCAGGCCCTGCAAAACTGTATTGTCCCGTAGGGCCCAGATCTCAATTGGGAGGGTGTTCCACTAGGCCGGCACCAGAGCTGATAAGGCTCTGGCTCTGGTTGAGGCTAAGAGGACCTCATTGAGGATCACCAGCAGAAGTTGGTCCATAGACCATAACTCTCATTGAGGGTTGTACTGGGAGAGACGGTCCTGAAGATGGAGCTCTTCCACCAGGCTTTTGGAGCCGCCACCACTGCTACCATCACCACCATCACTACTAATAACAACTGATAGTATGGTGGAAGCCCTGAGCAGGAGGTCCCTGAGACTATTGCCCGGTCCATCCCCTCTCTTCCACATAATAGAAGCGGACCAATAGATTTACTGAATATTGGAATTTCTAGCATTTTAATATTGTTGATTTTAACATGTTTATATCATTGTATGGTTCATCAAATTAGTATTAATTGTGATGAATGTGTTTTATGTATTATAAAGTTTTATCTTGTTGGAAGCCGCCCTGAGCCAGCCTATGCCGGAATGGGAGGGGTAGAAATCATTAAAATAAATACATAAATGTCCTTGTAACACAGTATCTGTTGCTGAGTGCCCCTCAACTTTCCTTCCAGGCTGAAGTACAACTCTTCCAGCACACATATTTATTTTGTCTTTTTCCTCACTGAAAATTGATCATATAGATTACGGAATTCTTGTTCATTAATATTATTTAATTTGCATTCTGAACTTGATATTAAAGTGTTGATCAAATTTGGACCCCCCCCCTTCCCCGCTTAATGTAATAGTAGGAGGAAGAAAGGTATTGATAAGCAGAGGTGTATGGGGGATAAGCAGGAGGACTGGGGGATTTGGGTATTCCTGCACAGCCCAGAAGCCCATCAATCTGGAACATATGAAGCAGGAGAAGACAGATAGTGCTGGGCACACTCCTCTCTGAGAGCCAGTTTGGTGTAGTGGTTAAGTGCGCAGACTCTAATCTGGGAGAACCGGGTTTGATTCCCCACTCCTCCACTTGCACCTGGCTGGATGATCTTGGGCAAGCCATAGTTCTGATAAGAGCTGTTCTTGAAAAAGAGCAGTTTCTGTCAGAGCTCTCTCAGCCTCACCTACCTCACAGGGTGTCTGTTGTGGGGAGGGGAAGGGAAAGGAGTTTGTAAGCCGCTCTGAGACTCCCTTGGGTAGTGAAGGACGGGGTATAAATCCAATCTCTTCTTCTTCTTCTTCTCTGCTCCTTCTGGTATAATGTTTCATGGTGCTCTGTCATCCCTATATGCTAGCACCAATGCCTTGTTTCTCATGCTTTTTACTGCATTTTCCCTTTGTGCATTTTTTGTTACTGTAATACTTTGCCAAAGTACTTCTAGAGCAGTGATTTTAGAACAGTTCCAGAGAAACCAGGGATCCAGCAGTGATAAGATCCTTAATGGCAAACATGCCTCCTGTCCCTGAAAGATGGCTTGCCAACCACTTCCAATCATCCTCTGCAGTATGAAACCACACAGGAGACTGGTGGGCATATTCTGGAATGCACTTTCGGTTCATTTAAAGTGACTGAGAAGCCATTAGGCTTTTGATCCTCACTCTATGTAAACAAACTTTGAATCTGAGAACATACCCTGGAATTTTTGGTGATGGTCCTGGTAGACAAGTCGATATGAAAAGGATTCCCTGAAGGGAGAAAGTTTGATAGCCACTGCTCTGAAAAGTGTCCTGAAATGCTTCTTTACTCGGCACGTAATTTAACTATGGAATTCACTGCCAGTGGATATAGTGATGGCCACAAGCATAGATAGCTTTAAAAGAGAGTTAGACAGATTCATGGAGGAGAGGTCTGTCAATGGCTGCTGGCCATATTGAACTCCCTTGACAGAGTCAGCAAACCTCTGAATCCCAGTGGTGGTGGGGGGCAGCAGGAAGGGGAGGGCCTTGGCCTCTCTGTCCTGTTTGTTTGTCCCTCCAGGGCAAGACGTTGGCCACTGTGTGAAACAGTTTGCTGGACTAGTTGGACCAGTGGTTTGATCCAGCAGGATCTTTGTCCTGTGTTTTTAGATTCTTACTGTTTTGTTTAGAATAGAAATCTGGCGATTCTGGAAAAGCACTAAACAGTTGATTAAAGACATTACAGGGATAGACCTAGCGATTACACCGGAAATCTTCTTATTAAACATTACACCTGAAGGACTTAAATACAATGAAACATGTATTATGGTATATGTGATTACAATATCAAGAATATGTATTGCAAAAAATTGGAAGTCAGATAAAATACCGAGTAAGGAAGATGTGTTTAGCATTCTTTTTGAAGTAATTGAAGTAATTTTGAAGTAATTGAAGTAATTTTGGCGGGAAAAACAGAGGAGAAATGTAAACAGAAATGGCAAAATGTCATAAAATGGTATGAAGAAAAGTTGTAATGTTACCCCCCAATTGTTAGAAAATGAGAGACAAATGTATGTAAGTTATGGAAAACTGAAAATAAAATGATTAAAAAAAAAGAATAGAAATCTGGCCACCTGCAATAAGTAATGTACATATTACTTCCATGTACAGACAAGGTTGGAGCCCCTGCCTAATGCGGCCTTGATCACTGGCCAGGAAAACAACATTGAGGAACGGCTAGCAGAGATGAGGAAAGCAATTCAGGTGAGAAATTTACTGAACTTTGAACCTGATTGAGAAGGGACAGGACTTCTGACTGGAGGAGTATATTTTGAATCCCCCATTTCCAAAATTCTCTGGCATTATTTGTATGTGTTGACCAGAAGAGAGGAAGGAAGGAAACACTTCCTTTATTTATTTAAAAAAACCTTTGCTTGAAATGATGAGCCATTGCTGTCAGGGCTTTGCACTTTCTTCACCATGTAGTGGGCATGGTTCCATCTCTTACTGACTCCTTTAAAAATAATGATGAAGGAATGCTTTACTTCAGAAACTTAGATACCAGAAGGAATTAAGTGTGTTACTCATCACTGGTGATGTCACAGATACTATCCAGTGAGAACCCCAGGTATCTTTCATGACCAATATTTTTTTTTCCCATCCAGGCTGCATTATGCTGAAACGGGGCTGCCAGGCCATTGCCTCGCACCTCTGGAAGCCTTGGAGGCAAGGCAAGGGGTGGAAATGATGTCATCGAACATGTCGACATCACTTCTGGGTGAAAATTCAGAAATGGCGTTAGGCGATGCTCTGGAATCCCCCCAGATTTTGTGGGAATTCCAGAGCATCGCCGGATGCACTGATGTAATTTCCATCCTGTTTCCCCCTTCCTGCATTTCTTCTGGCAGCCCATGCAGGTGGGTGGGTTGAACTGCCAGGAGGTCGCCTGCCTAACCCAGGCAAACCATAGGCCTATGTTGAAAGCCTACAAAGGTCTTTTCCGCACTTGGATCTCATCCCTGGTTTTATCAGAGTTCAATTCGCGGCACAATACCTTGCATTTATCCCTGGTTATAACAGCATCCGTTTATCCCGGGACAAGTGTGGGGCGAAACCGGGGTGACCTCAGTGTAATGTGGAAACAAAAAATACCTTGAGATAATTACAGGGGTGAACTCGAGTGTCGTGTGGAATGTAAGTTCGGGGACAGGGTTGCACCAGGCTTTAAGGTCTAGTGTGTAATCACCCAAAGAAGGGGTGGGGTGGTAAGTAAGAGCCTGCCTTGGAGGTTGACAGTGAACAATGTTCCCTCTAAGCTATGGAGTCCTGTGAGTAAAAATTCTACTTTGTGAGCTGCTGGCATTAAAGTTGTGAGCGAGCGATTTGGCTGCTGCATAAATTAGCCTGTTCTGGAGCCATCTGTCCTGAGCTAAGGCAAAAATGTGTGAGCCGGAGGCTAAAAAACTGTGAGCTGGCTCACACTAACTCAGCTTAGAGGGAACACAGACAGTGAAGCCATTGGGCTTTCCTCCTGTCAGGTGGAACATGTGTGTCCTCTGCACAATGATAGGTCTATGATTCTGACAGTGCAGCCCTCAGCAGAGTTACGCTGTTCTAATCCTGTTGAAGCTGGTGGGCTTAGAAGGATGTATGTCTGCTTAGGATAGCATTGCGAGTCTCCTGAAAATTACTCTTTAGACATATCCTGAATCCCCATTTGTTTAGACTCCAGCCGCTAAACTATCCCAGCTCTATGGTGCAGTTTTCCATATCTCTGCCAGTCCACAGATTGTGGCCTTGCCACCCATCTTGTTAGTTGGCAAGTTATCACAGGCTACCCTGCTTTTCATGCATGCAACAATCCCCAGTTGTTTTGGGCAACTTCCTGTTTCTGCATCACTGTACCCCTGTGTTAGAAGTGGGCAGCAGAGAAGGAAGTTCATTTGTTAATAACCCAAGCAACGAAGTTACAAATACCACTATATCCTGAAATATTTTTATTAAATATAGTACCTGAAAACTGGAAAAAGGGTGAAAAATATGTGGTAATTCATTTCCTGACAGCAGCAAGAATAGTACTGGCTAAGTACTGGAAAAATGAAAAGATACCAGATAGATGGGATTTTATTAATAAAGTGATTGAAGTGATTGAAAAAAAATCCACGGGAATATGAATTCAGTTTTTCAAAAAATGTGGTCAAATGTGTATAAATGGATTGAAATGAATACTTAAGCAGAGCAAAGGTTTGCAAATAATTTTCTATTCAGATATGCTTAAAGAGGGAGAGAAGAAAGGATCTGTTTTAATGTGTTATGTTTTATGTTTTTGTTGTGTTGTATTTTATGTTCCATGTTATTTGTCTAAATATATGTAAGTCAATAAATTTTTTTTAAAAAAAGTGGGCAGCAGGAAGCAAAAAAATAGGGTCCAGGGTACAGGTAGGCTGAGTAGGGGTTCTTGGTGGCAGAAAGGAAAAATGTGACAGAATTAGAGGCTTGGGTTCAGCTTAACTCTGCCGTGGGGGGTGGGGAAGTGTACAGGAATCTACATTCATTCTCCTTGACTGAGTATGTTCTCTGGTCTGCTCCACAGGGTCTAAAAAATTCCATAGAGCAACTTGAGGATTTGCAGGGGATCTTTAACTTCCGGTTTACTGCATTCAAGAGACTGGGTGAGGATGGGGATGTGGTGGGGTGGGGTGGGGTAGGGTGGGAGACAGACAGAAGCATCAATATGGCTGGAGGAGGGAGTGGACCCTTCTCTTGAAATGTTTCTGATGGGTTCAGATAATATGCTCTTAACTGTTTCCCTTATATCTCTTTGCAAAGTCCCCAGTTCTTACTAATTCTTCCTAGTTGTCTGATTTCCTGCACATGTGCCTCAAAGTGCTGAGGAATTGCTGTAATGTCACTGTTTCCCCAAACTTGGGTTTTGTTAACATCAACGTCTTCCAAAGACATTCCATTTGCAAAATAAATTGTACAAATTCCTCCTTTAGAATTTTTAGTATTTATAAATATCTAGAATTGCTGAGTTTAGAGGCTGTTATTTCATGGCCATGTTACAGATTATGTAGCCCAGTGTTGGCACCCAGACTCCTCTCCCAGCTTACTGTGTTCTACTTCTTCCCTCATGGCTTTGGAAACTGGTGGCAAAAGAGATATGTGCCTTTGCACATGAGGACTGAGGCCCTAATCCAACACTGGCATTAGAGGAGAAAAAGGACATCCCCGAAACCAGTCACCAAACAAAGCATCAGCCCTTCTCTTAAACCTAAGACTGGTTTAAGAGAAGAGCTGATGCTTTGTTTGGTGACTGGTTTCGGGGATGATCCTCATGTACAAAGGCAGGTGCCATGCCTGTAACTGTGGTGAGCAATTAGTCCCAGGATGGAATGGCTTCAAAGATAGGTTCAGCTGAGCAGTAAGAACAGGTATTTTTTAACTTACTGGGAAATGCTGCTGCAGGTGTTTTTCAGAGCACCAGACAGTCACAGTCCACATGTTTGAAAATTTGGGAAGAAAATGGTTGTATGTCTAATCACTGTTAGTTTGCACAGGCTAGCATGATCTGTGGTAGTGAAAAGCAATACCATTGCCCCAAAATACCAGCAGAAGCTCAGAGCACTCCAGGAAGCATCTCCTAATGAGAGGCATTCTGTTTTCCTCATTCCCTTTTCTAGTTGTAGAGACATGTGGAATTGCCCTTAATAAATAGTGGGGAGCTTCTGCTGGGTCCTTGGAGTGAGGGTATAGATTTCCTTTTAAATGCAGGATTTTGGGGTTTTTTTGTTTTTAGCAGAAAGATCGACACCTTCTGATCCTAATATCAGGGACAAATGGAAAGAGCTGCAAGGCATGATAAATCATTTGGACCGTTGTCGCAAGGTAAACCTTACCCTTTGCTACAGAGAAAACCAGTTGTGAGGTTGCCAAAAACCTTCTTGGGATCCTTTACTCAAAAATGTATGTGTCCTCCTTAAGTACCTCACTAAAATGGACACCACTGAAGCCACTCCAGTGATGTTCTTGCTCGCTGCTCCTTGTCCTTAGCATAAGGGGATCCGGTCTCATCTGTGAATGGTCTCTTTTTTTCAGGATGTGCTGGCCGGAATCCAGGCACTGCTGGGCCGCTCGGACACTCTGAGGGACCTGTTGCTGTTGGAACTATCTATGTGGCAAGATCGCCAACGGCGGGCGTGTATTGGGGATGTTTGTGATACCAGTTTACGACAACTAGAGAAGTGGTAGGCATCATTCCTGCCCCACCCCAAACAGATCCAACGAACAGTCAGTTCCTTATCACTCTTGAGAGGGCAGTCCTTGATTTGACTCAAGTGTTCCACTATAAACAGGTGTGGCTTTCTCCAGCATGCCGTAATTAAGAATTATGTATAAGTGAACTACAAAGTATGTGGCTGCAGGGTATTCACGCTAATGATACAATTTAATGATATGAATAACTTATTGTAAGGTAACAAACATACAAATATCTCATCCCAATGGGGAGAGAACCTTAAAATAGTATCAGTCCCAATTCACAATACTATATACAGCTAAAGATAAGCAAAGTAGTAACAGTTCTTATTCACAACTCCTTTTTTAGCTGAGATAACAATTGCAGTTCATAACTTTTGTTTCAGATAAGGTGGTGACACTCCCAATTCACAACTCCGTTTTCAGATAAGATGAGAGATGGATTGCCGGCTTTGTTCCTGTTTCTTCATCAGAGATCTTTTTATCTGTAGACAAAATACTCTACCAACTGACAGTTCAACATTATGACATTTACAAAATATGATCACAGGAATGACTAAAAATACTAACCTTACAATACCAATTAAAGTGCTTCAACGCATTGTCAAGTTTCAATTTAGTAGGTGTAAAATGCTCACATACATAAAGCAGTTATATAATCATTTAAAGTATTGAAAACAGTTTGGAGGAAATTAACAAGAAACAGCTGCAAGCCTCACATTTTTATTATTTATTTATTCGCTTGTTTGTTGAATTTGTTTAACATAGAACAGAAATCTCTTAAAGGTACAGTAGATCATTCTGCGATGACACCAGATATATGAACTCAAAACATATTTTTCATTTAAGCCTTTTGGAAATAAAGATTTTAAGGTATATATCCAGTATGACTCTCATTGTTGCAAATACATTGATGCATGCAACTGACAAAAGTTATGAACTGCAGTTGTTACCTCTGCTAAAAAAGGAGTTGTGAATAAGAATTGTTACTACCTTGCTCATCTTTAGCTGTCAATAGTATTGTGAATTGGGACTGATACTATTTTGAGGTTCCCTCCCCAATGGGGTGAGATACTTGTATGTTTGTTACCTTACAATAAGTTATTCATATCATTAAATTGTATCATTAGCGTGAATACCCTGCAGCCACATACTTTGTAGTTCACTTATACATAATTCTTAATTACGGCATGCTGGAGAAAGCCACACCTGTGGGTGTGAGAGTAAAGTGCACCCCTCAGTTTTAATTTAGAAAAAAATTGTGGAACTGTGGTCTAGCTTGATGCAAGTCAGCTTTGTGTGGTCACTACAAAGGGGAATGCCTATTGTAGTCAAGACAGCCTCCAAAATTATTACTGTTCTTGTGACCTTATTTCTCAATCAGGTTTGATGAATGGATCTTCTGGGCTTGGTACATTGCTTGTGTCAGGCCCTTGCCCCCCTTTTGGTGTCCCTGCTATCCTTTGAGCTATTTTGTGTATCATCAGGTACACTGGAAGCGCTGAAGACCTGTTCCATTTACTCTGGCTGCTACAGACCCTGGATGAGCTGCATCAAAAGATGACCTATGAAGGAGACCCCCTGCCACTACAGGTGCATCACTTAAGAGAGCGGCTGCAAGAGCAAATTTTCTGTCTTTTAAAAAGGTACTAAGGCCAGGCAAGCCATCTGTTTGGTGGAGGAGAAAAGTGCAGACTTACCATGGTAACCACTGACACCTTTCTGTCCCCAGCGCTTTTGTGGTGGAAATTCAGCCTAAAATGCCCTTTCCCAGTCGCCGGCCACTGTTGCTGAAGACCAACAACAAGTTCTCTGTCCAAGTCAGGTAAGAGAAGTATCCCCTCTCTTTTCCCCTGATTGCATTCAGCTTCTTCAAAAACAGTCCCAAGAGACAACAGATTTTAAAATGAGAAAGTTGTCAACAAAACATCTTGAAATGAGGGGAGAGGGAGATTCAAGTATTAAAGATGTCAATGAAATATTTTTCTGGAGAATTGTTTTTGTGACCATGATTGGGAATAAACGTGAATCAGGCTGAAACCAAACATGAGGATTTTATACAAGTGGGGCCTGGAACAGCTCCACAGTGTGGCAAATAACACCCCACCAGGGGCCATTTCAGCTCAGGAACATAGTGGGAGGGGTCAAAATCCCCTCTGCCCACTGCACCACAATCCCAAGCTGAACTGGGCCTCCTGCCATACTTCATTGCATCTAGTTTCAGCCTGCTTCACTCACAAACATTCGACAATCATAATAGAACTGCATGTTTGATTTTATTCCTTCCTTGCACACAAGGATTTTTAATCCAGTTTTGATCCACAGAGCTGCCTTTTTAACCTCACAACAATCCTATAAGGTATTTTAGGCTGAGAGGAGGGCTGGGCTAGTGAGCTTCTTGGCTGGGTCTTCCCAGTCTAAGTCCAATGTTCTTAACACTTCACCGTTTTGGTTCTTGGATAATGGCCCACCTATGTAAGAAACATGACAGTTCCATTGTGAGGGTTTTCTCCCCCTGCCTTTAATGTGTAATATGACTTGTGCCCTGGCATTATCATGCTGAGCATTTCCACATTCTCACAAGAAGCAGTTGCTTCTGGTCTGGGTGGGGGAGGGGAGTGGTCTCAGGGCTGCCATTTTGAATAGCAACCCCACAATGTTCCCTTATGGACTGTATCACTGAGTGCTGTTGTGAATGAGATCTTGCAGGTTAGTCAGTGGAGGTAGAACTCTGGTGTCACCCGCTCAATTATGATACTGTTCTATAGAGGTAGAAGTAGCTGAGCACGAGAAGCCATTCATTGACTGGACATAAGATGTGAACATGGTGTGTAACCCTTCCTTTAGTATGTGTTTTCTGTTGGGCTTCATATTGCACAACTATGACCAGTTTCGAGAAGGTGCCTTGTTCTGAAAAAAAGTGGTGAATAACCTTTTAAGACATCCCGGCACTAGAGTGTTCCTTGGAAGATGTGTGTGGATGGATGGATGGATGGATGGATGGATGGATGGATGGATGGATGGAGTTAAGGTGGTCAAAAGAAACAGAGCTGCCTGTTTATTTCCTATCTTGACGTTTTGTGAATTAGTCTTTGTTAACTAGCAAATACAGCTTGTATTCTAAAAGCATAGATTCCTCACTGCTATTGAAAAACTCATCTTCCTCAATTATGTGTTCTTTGTGAACTAAGTAAGGATTGGTAGACTGATCAGTTCCCCTTCATATATGTAGCCAACCATGGGAATTGCTTGTGCATGATGCAGTTCTGTTTGTGTGAATCACATGACCATGTGGGCAGGGCTAACCGTGTGCAGCCAAATGTCGGGCAAGAACCGTGGAGACCCAAGTTCAGATCCCTGACCTGCCATGAATCTCACAGGGTGACCTTGGGCCAGTCATTGTCTTACAGCCCAACCTGCTTCATAGGGTTGCAGTGAGGCTAAAATGGAGAGCCATGCATGTCAGCTTTAGTTTGTTGGAGGAAGAGTGGAATGAAAGTATAATAGATTTTCATAGTCTGCACCTCGCTGGGATCATAACAGATGGAAGTGATTCTCTCACTACAGACTACAAATGTGAAAGGCGGGGGAGAGGGGAAGACAGTCTTGGACTCTTTGTACCAAATTTCAGCTTTCTGGTTGGTCAAGAAATACACCATAATTTTGACACTCCAATGAATAAGGGGTAGTAGAAATTGGGGGGGGGGTGTTTCATATATGTGTGTGTGTGTATATACACACATACAGACATACAAACAGAGGGTAGCCATGTTGGTCAGCAGTAGAACAGCTAGATTTGAGTTATGTGGCATCTTAGAGACCAACAAGATTTTGAGAGTAAATGCTCCCTTTGAGAGTAAAAGCTCCCTTTGACTGATACAAGTTGGAATGGAGATACCGGAGTCCTTATATCCCAGTCAGAAGGTGGGAGACATGTTACAAAGGGATTCAGGATGCAAAGGGACAATGCACACTGTAGTCAGCTTGATTAGAGCTGAGGAGAAATGCTTACGGGCGAAAAATTAGCATCTGTAGTGAGATAACAATCTCATGTCCCTACTTGGCCCTGGAGTGCCATTTGTGAATGAACTCAAGTTCTGAATTTGTGAATGAACTCAAGTTCAGCAATCTTGTGTTGTAATTTCCCAGTGAAGTTTCTTTGTTTGAGGACTGCCACTCTTAGGTCAGCAATGGAGTGTCCTGGAAGATTAAAATGTTCTCCCACTGTTTTTTGAATGTTGTAATTTTTAATGTCACATTTATATCCATTCTTTTGCATAGGGACTGACATGTTGTCCAATGTAGAGAGTGGAAAGGCACTACTGATATTTGATGGCATATATAACATTGGAAGATGAACGAGTGAATGAACCTGAGATGGTATGGCTGGTGTTGTTAATTGCAGTGATTGTGTTGTCAGAGTGAATGTGGGGACAGAGTTGGCATCTTGGTTTATTGCAGGTTCCAAAGTCTGTGCCCATTTTAGGAAGTGCACTGTTGTTAGTGAGAAGTTGTTTGAGGTTAGAAGGCTGTCTGTGGGCAAGAAAGGTTTGCCTTCCAATGCCTGTGAGAGAGGAGTATCATTGTCCCGCATAGGCTGTAGGTCATTAATGTCTATTGAACCGATTGAGCTGAGAGCTGTGTGACCAGCAGTGGTGTTCTGTTATTTTGTTTGCATTTGGGCCTATGTTGTAGTAGGTTATCCCTTGGTATCATTCTGGCTTTGTTGATCTGTTTCCTTACTATATCAGGTGGGATACACAAAAATATACATATATTTATTACAAAGTGAATTAAAAAACAGATATTGGCCCTGGTGATAGCCTCAATTAAGAATCAAATTGTACAGTGACAACCAAAAATGGCCATTATTGACCATGACCATATGTGTTTTGTCCCATTGGCCTTCCTCATTGGTCAAACGAATGATATTACAGAATGGCTCTTGACATTACAATGCAACAATCGTTTCTTATAAATTGAACAAGATGAAGTTTTTTGTTGATTATTGTCTGTGATCAACATTACTCAGAGGCCTCATTCTTGATAGTTTCCTGCCATAATCAGGTACACTTTCTTATAGTAATAGCTCAATTATGTACCTTTCTCACTTGGTCAGAAAATGCAGCTAGGAGCCATTAGTGATGTAATAGTGGTTACCTTCACCCACCTCAGGATTATAATATACTAGGAGGGAAGCCCGTTGTAGGGAGAGGACAACAAGCGCTAGAAAGACGGGGGCCCGTCCCACAGACTCTGGGGTCAGTGGGCAGCGACTGGCTTCCTGGGTGGCCGCAGCTGGGGGCCTCCGGGCTGCCTTGATAGCCGTGCTCCCCAACAGCGTGCCAGCCCCCTTCCACACGCAGGCTGTCTGCCAGCATGCCTCAGCGGGCTAGTATGGCTGCGATGGCCGCAGGCCAGGGCTCATCCCAACGAACCCGCGGCTGGTGAAGGGGCTGGGTCGCCCGTCATGTCGAATCAAAGTGAGGCCCTTCCGCCCGCTTTCCCCCCCCTCCCCAGATCCCAGGGCTGTGCAGCATGTGGCGGCCTCCGGGCCAGCTTAACTGGTCTTCGGCTGGGCAGTGCACTAGCCCCCACCCGCTCGCAGCCTGGTTGCCATCGTGGCTCGGGCCTCAGTGCCCCTTGATGGCTGCGCCAACAGCAGCAGGAGTGGGCTCGGGCTGACGGCCTCGTGGGCGGTGAAGGGGCCAGGGTGCCTATCATGTCAGAGGAAAGCGAGGCCCATCCCCCCCTCTCTCCACCCTCCCCATACCGCTGGGCCTGCTGCGTCCAGCGACCTCCGGGCCGCCTTGAGAGCTTTTTGTCCCAGCAGTGCAGTGCGCCAGCCCCCGTCCGCTCACAGGCTGGCCGCCAAGTCAGCCAGGGGTGACAACAACTGGCACGGGGGTGAGAGGAAGGGGCTCGACCAAGTGTCCAGCCACCAGATCGTGCATTCCGTCCGGCAGCTCCATGCATGCTGAGGGTAAGCTGGTGGCCGGGGCTTGTGTGGGCGGAACCCCGCAACGCAGCCAGCCAATGCAAGCAGCGCCTTTGGAATGGCAGTTCAGGCGGCCAACTGATTTTGGCGTGAATAGAACTTTGCCACCCCAAATCGCTTTTATTAATAAGGAGAAATTACAAAGGAGAAGAGCCACAATACTGCGGCCTGCTTCTTTGCCTGAAAACCTCCCTGAGACAACTCTTCTCCCTCTCTGGTTGCTTCTTTTTCTTCTTTCCCTTTTCCTCCTGGCTGATTTGGCTTCCCTTTCTGCTCCCTTTTTGCCTTCTCCAGCCAATCCCCAGCCCTTTCTTCTTCCTGAGTATTCATAGCCCCAGCTCCCCACCTGGTTCTTGTGCTAAGCTCCGCCCTCTTTTCTGTTTCCTGTACCTTAGCCAGCTCCTCTTCTCCATAGCCTCACCCTGAGTTAAACCACCTGGGCCCAGATAGCCATTGCTCCTTTGCCCAGGCTCTTTGCTTTCTGAGCCTCACTGTGGCAGACCGCCAAAGTTGCCCGGTTGTTTATGCTAACATGGCTGCCCTCTCCTGCCCCTGGTCCCACCCTGCTTTGCCCAGGTGAGTCTTGCTGCTCGTCCCAGAGGCATATCCTGCCCCGCCAGGCCGGCCATTGCCAGGTAGCATGCCACAGTATCTAAGGTGCTACTGGACTCAAATCTGGCTGTTAGACATACACACACGCGTGCACGCGCTGCTGTTCTTGTGAAGGGGCTGTGGCTCAGTGGTAGAGCATCTGCTTTACATGCAAAGGGCTGCAGGTTCAATTTTTGAGCTTGGGGCCTAAGGTGCTGTTCCATCCCTGCAACAGTAGCTGCTCCAATGGAACCGTTTTTTTCCATCAGCAGAGTAGGTCAGTAGAGTAATGGGACAGAGGGATTTATTCTTTATGCTGTTCCTTCTGGTCCACTGACCTGCAGGACCGCAATTGGGTGGGGGGCACAGAATGCTGCAGTGTGAGGGGTGTGTAAGTTGCCTTCCTCTAGCACAGCTCTGCTTTCACTGTTTAGGATTCAAATATCTCCAGGGGATTTGGAAGTAAGTGATGTAAAGGACCTCTAGCTGAGACCCTAGAGAGCTTCTGCTGGTCAGATTAGACAATACTGACCCGGACAGACCAATAGCCTGACAAGGCACCTTTGTGTGTTGTTCAAATAGATTGTGTCTTACTGTGCTTCTTTTTAGGCTCCTGGTCAAGCTGATGGATCAAGACCACAAGATGGAGGTGAAGATGGAGATTGACAGGTATGTTTTCTAGTTGAACCTATTGGCTCCGATTGCCCCATCCCTCCTATAAGTACAGGGGCTGGAGACTGTAGCAGCACAACTGGGGGGAGGCTAGAGCATCCACTGATCCTTTTCTCTTTTTAATTTCTTGCAGGGATTCTGCTGATTTGGTAGGGTAAGTGACAGCCGAGAGGAGGCAGCAAGGTGAAGGAAGACTCATCATTTTCTAATCTGGCACAGGCATGGCGTGGGATCCAGGGCCCTTCCAGTGTAGCAGACTGATGAGAGTGTGGATATCGGAAGCTGGTTGTCCAGGACAGGACTAATTGTATCACAAGCTAAAGGAAATCTTTGCCATTTGTGGCTTGTGATTTCACTTATTCGTGGTTGGATCACATGACGTTGAATTTTGCAGGGAATCTGGTTGTTTGCTTCTAGGAGGCATCAGATGTTTCCCTCCCAGTGTTCATGGATTTTGCTGTGACTCATGAGAACTCACGGGGGAGGGGGGAATCTCCCATTCCCCCCCACACCAGTCCCTACTTTGTTTTGCCTCTGTGCGTCCTTCCCTTGCCACCCCCACCCAACGGCCCAGTCGCCTTACAGCTGCTCCAGTCACCCCGCTCCCTTTGCCCTCCTCAGTGCACCCAATCAGTCATCTTTGTTTCTTCCTCATCATCCCAGTTGGGTTTTTTTTTTAAATTACATATCTCCATTGTGGCAATATAAGATGTAATCCAGGGGATTCTGCACGCAAGAGGGCCACCCTTCACTATTAGGAGTGTAACAGTGTGATTTGAAGAGCTCTGTATCCAATGATGGGGCTACCCACCCTGCTGCTTAGGTAATATTTTCAAAATGTATAGATAGATGCATACATAACATTTCTCAATTGGAACATTTTGAGTTCTTGGCACTGGGAGTTGATGGACTACTTCTGTGGTTGATTTACTTATATTTATTTTACTGTGTTTGTAACCTGCCCTTCTACCAAAATAAGCTACCCAAGGAAGTGTATCAAAATTAGAACGTTAAAATGCAGAATTATAAGCCACACATCACAAAACATTTAGCAGCTGCTTAAAATGATAGAAATGATCAACCCACTTCAAACTTGGCAGAGCCAGCAATAAAACTAAACACAAAACCCCTTCATATCAGCAATAAAAGCACTGCATAACAGTGTATGAAGGGCATCAGGAAAAAATGTTAAAAAAAAAACAATCACAATCCAAAGTAGTTATATAACACTCTTTCTTTTTCCCACTTGAAGGTTTCGAAGATTCAACATCTTGCCATCAAACACCAAAACCATGGTGAAGGACAGGCCCCAGGTGGAGGGCCTCGTCTGTGACTTCAGTCACATTGTAAGGGTCCGGTGAGAGGTCTGGGAAAGGTGTGGGTGTACTGGAGGGTGCGTGGGAAACTCTACTTAGGTTATAGAAGAGGGCCTGAAAACTGGAACTTTACCATGCCCTAGCTTTGGAATGACCGCAGCTCAAACTTTGACCCCAAAGAATTTTTTTCTCCAGGCCTCTGGTGCTACCACCAATTTTTAATCAAACTATGGAAAAAGTTTTCCATCCTTTAGTTCACAAGAAAAGGGAAAGGAATGCTTTTGAAGATGAGAGAGAGAGAGGAGTTGGGGGTAAGAGAGCTTGTCCTGTGCATTATGAGACTCTGCAGTTGCCTATCCAGAGAGAGATGGAGACTGAGGACTGAACTCTAGGCAGAGTTTTGCAGTAGCCTCTTAAGATACACGAAGAAGGCCAGCAGCAAAAACTGAAGTACATGCCTAATACATTGAAAGTCAATGTTCCAAATCAAGTTAGGAAGGAAGATTTAAAAAGGAAGTGCTGAATGCTTGTAAATCACCCCATATTGTTGCAGTTCTTGGCAGGACCTTGAAAGGCAAGAGATGTTCTTCTACATTTGCATGGATTTCTTATGTCCTTCACTTATAAAAGCTTAATTTTTTATACCAGCCTAAGGGCTAGACGTTGGGTGCAATAGGGGGGCACCTTGGAAGAGTCCATGCCTCTACAGCATTCCCCTTTCTCTGATGGCTACGGCACTCAGTGTGATCCACTTTCTCCTTGGAGTTTGAATGCTGTCTATGAGCTGTGTACCTGTGACACCGTTAGTGCTAGATGAAGCCCTTATGTTTTTTTCTCTTGCTGACTTTTGCCATATGAAAAAAGAATTGGGTTGGAGGAGAGGGAGATCTTGGTGGAAGGGTCTTGACTCCTGTCCAGTTTCCTTTGCAACAGTTTGGTACATGTCTCTTGTTCATAGAGTCCTCAGTCATAATCCAGCTCCCTTGCTTGGGCCTTGTAAACTTCCACCTTGATAGAGGTGCCTCTTATTCATATTGCTCTGGTCATGTGGGTCACTTGTGGTCTGGATTATATAAACTGAGAAGCACGAGAATAGCTTTTCCTGATGGTAAGGAACTGGATCCCGTGGTCTTTTGTTGCTTCCAACTCTCTGTGATTCCTCTTCTGTTCTCTTGGCAGATGCTGAAAGAGCAAAAATCTTCTGGCTCAGGTAAAGGCAAAGGTGGTAAAGGTGCCAGTGAGGTAGGTTTGCCTACTAGGGAAGCAGTGAGCCCCTAGCCGTTTTTTCTGTGTGTTGAGTGAATACAGGGGGTATGGACCAGTACTGGGGTAAAGTGAAGGGTTGTGTCCTGTGCTTGTTTTGGAAAACTTAGAATACTACTCCTGTATGTAGTATGTCAGTCCTTTCAGTACACTGGTATATTGGGGGCGGGGGGGGGGGCTGAAAGGCCCAAAGGGTAAGGGGGCTACAGGGATACCCCTGCCTCGCTGATCGGCAGACTTCAAAGCATAGTAACAACTATGGGATTTTTGAGCATGGCATATTACAGGGCTTTCCCACTTCCCGTTATTATGTCATGTAGCTAGTATCATTTCTATCCTATCCTGTATTATCAGGAAAGTAGCTTGCAGATTAAGAGCATCGTACATCTAATTCCCATGGCTGGCCCTCAATGTGCAAATGTGGTGTATCTTTTTGCAAACCTGAGGTAAACCCCAGCTTTGCACAAACATGTAAAAGGGAGTTAGCACCCCCACACACACACACACCTGCTGCTGTATAGCTAGCAATATTTGCACTTCTGCAGATGTCAGAAAGAAACCCCAACTGACATGTGAACATGTTAAAACATAAAAAGTAGTGATTGGCGGCAGGGGGAGGAACTGGCCAACGAGGAGAAGGAAAACAAATGATTGGGTAGACACTCAAGATGGAAGGGGGGAAAACATTCATACTCAACATGGGAAGAACCAGGGGTGTGGGGGATTTGATTTCCTATCCTCTGTAAGTCCTTGTAAGTCCAACTCTTGTTGCATATAATCACAACTGTATTTTAATTACATTTTTATCCTGCCTTCTGTCTCTGAAACCTACAAGGGGGGGTACATCAAGGGGTCTTCCGTCGAGGTGCTGGTAAGATAGCTTCAGGAAGGTTGCTGCATGGGGTGCCTTCAAACCATGCCCTGAGTTAGCGGGCAGTGTCAGTTGGGTGTGACCCCCCCCCCTCTCCTTCATTGCAGGGAACATTACCTGTTACAGAGGAGCTGCATGTCATCACGTTCACACTAGATTATTGCTACCAAGATCTCAAGTGCCAGCTTCAGGTATGAGGACCACTAATAGGAGGAGTGAGGGCTATTGGGAGGGAGACAATGCTTTTATCAGCTTGGTTGCCTGAAGGTTGTGTGGCACAGAGGTGATGCTGTTTCTAGCCAGGGGATACTGACATACTTGATCCCTGCCAGGGGAGACAGTTTCTGATTACTTATGAGGCGCCAAGCTCACTGACATGATAACGCTACTCTTCTGCTAGAGTTGCCACCTCCTTTCTTTTTTTCACCATGTCATAAAGTTGTGTTCTCCTTGGGGCCACTCCATTGCCAGGGAAAGGATTTTATTTCTACCCATCAGGTAACTACTAAACAAAAAGGTGTCAACCCTATTCCTTGTTGCCCGTGGAGTTCAGCATCAGTGGGCATAGAGATAGCCGCGAGCATCAATGGCTTTAAAAGGAAATTAGGGTTTACGGAGGATAACTGAGGTGACTAAAGGGAAACTATTATGTTAACAGTAACCTATTGAGTACCACTTCTAGGGTGCAATTTCAGGGACAGGCCTTGGCCTCGATGCCCTGTTGGTCCTTTGGGCAACTGATTTGGCCAGTTTGGTGTAGTGGTTAAGTGTGCGGACTCTAATCTGGGAGAACCGGGTTTGATTCCCCACTCCTCCACTTGCACCTGCTGATGTGGCCTTGGGTCAATCACAAGCTCTGGCACAGCTGTTCCTGAAAGAGCAGTTTGTGTCAGAGCTCTCTCAGCCCCACCCACCTCACAGGGTGTCTGTTGTGGGGAGGGGAAGGGAAAGGAGTTTGTAAGCCGC